GGCGCCCTTCAAGACGCGGCCTTAAACAGCGCATTCGACGACGGCGCTCTTCGGGACGATCGCGCTAGCTGCAGGCTCGCTTCTGCACACAGACGTACGTCGGAAAGGATTCCATCGGACGCGACGCAGGGACAGGTCTGTGAGGGTCGAACGACAACCAAGACAGGTTTAGCAACCAACGGGGCTAGCTTAGCCCTTGGTACTCCCGGTCCTGGTGTGATGTGACAGGTAGTACGGAGGATCGCCGTGGGCATCTACCATTTTTTACACAACTACGCGCGTTATGGCGCACATCGGCGACTTCGCATCGATTGGAGTTATGGCACCGGGCTGCGCCAAAACGGCATATTTGAACCGCATTTCCGCGCCGATATCGGTGTTATCGCACCCCGTGCGATATCAACGACTTTTAACCTCCTTAGGGAAAACTTTTTCGCCCCGCCGTACAGTACTGGCACCTTTCGGGCCACGTCTGAATGTTACGAACGGCAGCGAGGGTATTGGTAGGCATCACTTGGGGCGCAAATCTGTTCATGAAGACCGTACCGTCGAGGTGCACGCTTAGAAACACGTAAAGTGTGTTTGTACGGTGCATACTCGGTACATCGAAAACAACCAATCAACCAAGCACACAGCCCACACATGCCTCACCTCCAACCGAACGAAAAAAAAAGGGTTATATGAATGCATTGTACAACCGGGGGTACCGTGCCCCCTGAGGAAGACAAAAAAGAAAAAGAGCACCAGCCAACAAATGATACTAGCTACTGGAAGACCTCCAGGCTGACCTACTTGTACCAAGAAGCGCCTGTGTTCCCTTCTTCAGTAAAGGCGTGGCTCCGATATATGAGGGCGGTGTGACAATGGCCCTCGAGACCCACATGTATGTCGGAGGCCACTCATGTACTTCTATGGGTACCCGACAATGCAATGGCCGGTGGAGTCCGTGACAACCGATTTCGACCCTCTTTTTTATATCGGAGCCCCCTCTTGTAAGGTACCCTCTGATAACGGAGCCACGACTGTATAGGACATCCCCTGCATGTCTCTACTGGATCAACGACATAATTATCGGGGGGAAATCCCCCGTGATGTCATGTGTTACAGAATGTGGCCTTCACACGGAACACGGCGCAGTGTCGTTTGACAGCTGATGTACCCGCTACCATTTCTATCTGTACATTTGAACTGTTTTTGAATGAAGGGGGTGCAGAAAAGGGGTTTTGACGCTGGCTCTTTTCCCATTCTCTAATCCTATACAAAGAAACAAAACAACCTTCCCGCCAGGGTTCGGTTAGGCATTCTATTGTCAGCAGTAGAGGACACCATGAAGAGCCGTCGTGCGTGCTGGCACGTTCAGGTTTGCTACTGGAGCGGCGAATGTCGAAGGTCGCAGCAGCCTCTGAAAACAGTCCGAAATCTGCGCCGGAACCAAGCGGCATCCAACATTTCTCACAGCCATGCTCACCACCACGGGGAACGAAAACCCCTGAACGGAGGGGTGTCAGCAGTAGCTAGTGGCATCAGCTACTGCTGTAAACCCGTAGTTCAGGAGATTGGGGTTGGTGGCTGCGAGCATGGCAGTGACAAATGTTGGATGCCGCTTGGTTCCGGCGCAGATTCTTCGGACTGTTTTCAAAGGCTGCTGCGACCGTCGATACTTCAACTCCAGTAGCAAACCTGAACGTGCCAGCACGCACGAGGCCTCTTCATGATGTCCTCTACTGGTGACAATAAAATGCCTAACCTAACCCTCAAAACTGACCTTGTTTGAGCGCCTTCCGTTTTGGCTCCCTTGACTTGAATTTAGAAGAGTGTGAATTTTTATGTTGATTTCAAGCTGCCTGTGGAGGTAGACGTGTGAAATGTATGTCTTGAACAGCCTTTACTGCCGCCCTGTGCGAGAGTCAACGACTTCTGTTTTTCGCGGTGCCTTCCTACTGGTCTGGTGTGTCTGTTGTGCAATTTCTGGTGCTCTTGCGTTTGTTTTGAAAGTTAGTCAACATCAAGATTCGTCTTTTGCACCCACCCCCTTAAAAAACAGGAGTTGCGGATTCGAGCAGCCGTTTCCCGCTCTTCTTGAAATCCACAACAATTTAATGTGACATTGATTACATATACCTGTGCGATGAGTTTACATGTACATATGTACTGTAGGTGAGGCGCGTTTGAGGGCAGTGGGGATACATACTGTAGTAGCAGATAGGAAGGTACTAGCAGTTCGTTTGTACCAATTGGAGTTCAATCCTTCTCATCTGTAATGGAATAATAGCGAGGCGAAAACGGACGGCGGTTTGCAAGGCAGCAAGGCAGCAGTACATACATGTATTTTCTTCCCTGTTTTCTTGGACGGTGTGAGTCCAAGAATGTTGTTGAGACATTTGGAGCGTGTCGTAGCCATGTTGCAGAGCATCCGTCGTGAAGAGCAACAGCAGCAGTGAGTAGCTGTGCATATAAGTCATCTTCGTGTTGAGTGTGGTGGATACTTACACGACGAAAGGCACACACGCGTATCCAAGTTCTACACACGTGGGACCTGGGTCGTGATAACCAGCGGAAGAGGTTGATGTCAGCCACAAGGTCAATGTGGGAGAGCAGCTTTGCACGAAACTCAATACAGCCTTCCCGCCTTGCCTCAAGTCTTAGAGCTAATGCAGACTTGGAGACCATCGACAGGGTTGAATTTTCACCTGGTCAGATGACGTCATTTGGTCTGAGAATAGAAGAAATTTTCCCTTGGTCAGATGACGTCATTTGATCTGAGATTACTTCTGCTGTAGAAAATTTGTTTCACAATTAATTTTTTCACGATGATTTTTATTCGCGTTGGCATACCTTGTATATTTTCCGACACAACCAATCCATGTCTCCGTTGTTGTTGATCACTCGCATTCATTCAAAACTCACAAGACAGCTACCAAACTGCTTTGTTGAGCCTGTTACCCGCAGGGGAGATGTCCCTATTTGCTACCTGGGAAATCGTAGACATACAGGTAGCTTTTTCCGACGCTATGAATTCGATGCTAATCTGTCTCTGACTCTTAGAGATGGATTCGTTGTGTCATATAAAGAAAAAAAAAAACTCAAAATGATCACCTTGCACTTCGCCACCGCAAAAAGCATCGCGGATACCTACTGCAAGTCTGCAAGGATATGAGTCGGCGATACCCAGCGGCTCATTACCCCGCCCTATGGCATCTCTACTCTGCTGTCTGTCTACATCAACTGCTGCTCCGCTCTCTCCACTCACCGACACGAACAACATGCATCAAGGGTGTTCTCCGCGGTTGCTCCAAACACCCGGCTCCTGCATGCACCCCCCTGGCGCGTTTAATTTTTTTCCAGAAGTAGATGCGGGGAAACTCTCTCGCCAAGTTGTGTGCACACACACAAGCATCCAGCTCTACTGCGAAGGAACACGTCCCAGAGGAAAGGAGGAGTGCTTACGTCTGGAGACTCGCCCCGAGCATGTAAGTGTGTACAGCAGTCAGTGCAGTGCAGGTGACAGTAGTGCGGGTGTGCGACAGGGGGAGCCACACATATACATGTGTTGCTGTAGATGGACTTGCTTCTTCTCGGCGGACCCAAACCCACTGCCAAACTAAGGTTGGTTGCACCTCTACTACATGCCAGGGTACGTGCTCACCGCCATAGAAGCTCGCCTGAAGCCGTTTAGGGCTGCTCCCGACCACGCGCGTTTCAGGAGAGGAGTTAGTTGTGAAAGGCCTCTCCCGCGGAGGTGTGTTTTGATTCCAAATTCGGAATAAAACATGGGGTATTTATCACTTGCCGATCCCCGAATAGAATATTCAGCCTTCGGAACTTTTGCCAGACCGAGGTCAAAAAATCAAACCGAAGTATAACAATTCCTTGTTCCATGTGGCATGGCCCACGTCATAACAGCAACCTCTTACAACTGGCAAACGGCGCACGTTTTGGGTTGTTCGCGGTGGCGCAGATCTGCCTTTGATAATCGTTCGTGATTCGCAAAATCACTAGTGGATCTTCCATTCCCGCACGTTTGGCCCCGATGGTAATTTTTCGACTCCCCTCCCATACGTAGGGGTCCAACAGAAAAAATTAAACTATTTCGCGCGAAGCACGAAAAGAAGGGTCGGAGAGAGACATCAAAGCAAGCGTAGATAGATATGGATGGAGCTTACACCACCACGTAGATCACCAGTGCGCACGCTCACACCTCACCCGATACCGCCAGTCAGTCAGGAGATGAATGGGAGCACTGTTTAGCTCTCATCATCATAGCGGGCAAACATTTCTTTCGGAAGTAAATGAGAAGACGCAAGACGGAAAGCTTGCCGCATTCATTGTGATAGAAAAAACTGGCTCTCCGAACTCGGAAGACATCACATGCATCTCGCTCATGTTTGTTTCTCATGATCAGCTCTGTGTGCTGGGTCTCTCTGCGGTATGTATGTGGTCCGGAGGACGACACAGAAACACCGGGTGTATGTGTATGTGCTGACATTAAACTTTACGGAGTATTGATCTAGACTGACTGCTGTATGTTGCTGTACTGTATGTAGTCTCACAGCTGTATATAGCTATGTACAAGCCACACTTGCACACACAGACAGACAGGTCAAAGCGCACGCCACGCGCACCCAAGTAGTAGCAGCCATACATATAGCAAACAAGTGCAGTTTTCTTCTTCTGTTGCTATACGGTATCTATCTGTCTTTAATCCGGAGAGTAGCGTAGACTCCCCCGTGACACTCGGTCACAGGGTCCCAGATTGTGTCCCAGATTGTGTACTATTGAAGCGCATTGTGTAGGGTTGTGTATCGGAGCCGATAAGTTTGATATGATCGGACGATATATATCGTATCGAATATCTATTGTCAGCCCCGATATGTTGGGCGATATATTTGAGGGGGCTCCGTGAATCAAAAAGGGGGCATATGTTACAACAGTTACACGTTTGGACCCCCTATGAGGCCTCGCTGTTGCGGCGGCTGTTGCTTTGGACCACAGAAGAGCAGACCGAACACCGAACACTAGCCGAACACCCCATGAGTACCCCACCAGCAGCGGACCAGGATGGAGGGTCCTCCACGCCGGTGGTTGCAGTAGAACCAGTTTCAGACACAGAGTCAGCAGAGCGTTCGAAGAAAAACGAGCGGGCTGCGAAGGTGGAGAGGGTCAAGATGGAGCCGAAGCTGCCCAAGCCCCCGAATGCCTCACAGCCGGTGTGGAAGCATTTCAGGGTGTATCGGAACCCATGCCATTCGGGCATCGCGATCTGTCAGTTGTGCGTGGCAAACGGCGACTTTCACTGTGCAGAGACCAAGTTCAAGGGAGGGTCGCCTACCAATCTCCTGGCCCATCTGGACACCTCCAAGGTTGGACACAGGGACGCACACACCGCGATCAAGCACGCGAAGGCAAAAGGCTCCGGCTCCGCTGCAGCACCAACAGGACAAGCAGCGATCACCAACTTCCTCCCGAAGGAGGAGGGGGGGGCGATCTGGCACGACGAGTTGGTTCGTCTCATCGTCAACAACTACCTCTCTCTGTCGGTAAGTTTTTCGTGTTTTTAAAATTGAGGTACGAGTATTTTTCAGCGATGCAGTGGTTAGCTAGCAGTGGTGCTCATGTTTTCCCACAGAGGCGCGTGTTGTATTGCGTATGCCATGCGCCACTTTTACTGCGATACAGCAGTGCTTTTCCAGCTCTTCCATGGATATGCATCTTGGCATCTTGGACATACATTCCAAGGATGCGCATGTTGTATTATTATCAAGTTATATATATATATATTTTCGCGTTACAGCAGTGCTTTTCCGCGGATCGATGCGTGTGTTGCATGACAGTATCAAGTGTGAATGTTTCGGTCATTGTTGAGCGATACAGCAGTGCTTTTCCGTGGATGCTTGTGTTGCATTATCATGTGTAAACGTTTCAGCGATACAGCAGTGCTTTTCAAAGTTTTAGCGGCACAGCAGTGCTTTTCCGAGGGTGTGCGTGTGTGTGGTGCGCCCGCGAGCAGAGGGAGGCAAGGTCACTGCTGCAAAAAAAAAAAAAGAAACTGGTGTGCCCGAGCGGTCTGCATTTTTTGTTTTTGGAATCGAAGCGGTGACATCTGTTTTTTCAGGCTGCACGAAACTACTGTGGTTTTCGACTGTTGACGCTTCAACTTTCACAGGCGGCACCTTTCTGACCTGTTGCCCCAACATCTCCCCTCGTTCGACACTTTTGATCACTCGCAAGTTTGTCGAGTACTCGGAACTCAAGGCGATGGTCTCGGCACTCAACAAAAGAGCCAAGGTTCCCAGTCGGCGCGAGCTTCTTTCGAGGATGCGCGCTGTGAAAACGGCCCTCATGCTGGATGCCGAGTTCGTAGCAATCACCACGGACGGCTGGACATCTCGGAACAACGAGTCCTACATGTCGCTGACCGTGGCCTACATCGACTACGAGTGGAAGTTGCACCATCTTTCTTTGGACTGCGCGAAGCACACGGGGACAACCACGGGTGAGGACTTGGCGGCGTTGGTGGCGGGAATGATTGAACGCCACGACCTAACCGGTCGGGTGATTGCATGCGTCACCGATTGCGAGCCGTCTATGATCAAGGCGGGTCGCCTGCTTGAGGTGGACGGGGGTACGATTTCGCACATCGGCTGCTCGAACCACCGCATGGAGTCAACGACGTCATCGGTCTTCAACGGCAGGAGTCTTGGCGCCTTGGGCCTTGCGCGAACGCTAGTAGGACGCTACAAAAAGTCGAGTCAGATGGCGGCTCGCCTCGTCCAATTGTGCGGCATCCTCCAGATGGAACCGCTGTCCGTGATGCAAGACGTCGAGACGAGGTGGTGGTCGACATGGGCGATGGTCGTGCGTCTGCTCTACCTGATGAAGGCCATCAAGCTTCATGAGTCGATGGACGAAGTCCACCCGCTGTTGTCGGACACGGACTGGGAGGTGCTGCGGCTGATCGAACCAATCCTGCGACCGTTCATGAAGGCGCAGAAAGACCTGGAGGGGGCCCAGTACGTGACGGGTAGCATGACCATCGGGAAAATGGCGGAGTTGCGAGAAGGGCTTGAGGCCGCAATCACAGACCTCAAGGCCGTTGCGCAACAGGGGCTCAAAGAGACTACGCAGAAGGCGATGGAAGCCGTTCGTCCGGATGCGGAAGCCCTGATGGCGGATTTCACCAACCGTTGGGGCGACGGCTCCAACATACTCGAGTACAGGGAGGGCAAGCGTCGCCAACCGCAGGGGTTCAAGCGGAAGCAGGTGTACGCAACGGCCCTCGACCCGCGGGCCAAGCACCTCTACGGGATACAGCAGCGAGAGCACGCAGGCGTATGGCGCGCTGTCGCTAGCGCCGCGGTGGACATTGCTCTGGGGAAGCACGCTGGCGATAAGGCACCCGCCTCCGCGGAGAAACCTGCTTCCGATCCCGTCCAGACGCAGCCGGCCCCACTTGGAGGGGGACAGGGAGCCTCGAAGCGCCCTCGCATGAGCGCGTTCGAGGCCGCCGCTGCTGCCCACGCTGCAGATGCAGGGGACAGCAATGCCGGCGATTCCGCGGATGGGAAACGCGAGCAACTGGTGGCCATCGTGGAGATGGAGGTCTCTGCCTTCAAGGCCGCACCCGGGATACGGGTTCGGGACATGCAGAAAACCAACACGGGAGACAAGAAGGTCTTCAACAATCCCCTGGACTGGTGGCGCAAGAAGCAATTGGAGTACCCTCTGCTCGCGGCGCTGGCTCGTCGTGTGCTTGCCATTCCGTCATCTCAAGCGCAATCCGAGCGCATGTTTTCTACGGCAGGGCTAACCGTGACGCCCACGCGGAGTCGCCTTTTAGACGAAAACGTCGAGCTCCTCGTGTACTTGCGCAACGTGTGGGGTGTAGTGGATGAGTGGAAGAAGAGTGCTACTCGCAAAAAGAAGATGTCATCTGTTTCGATGCTCTAACCAGCACGTCGTCGTGATTGTCGTGGATTTTCCGCTTTTTTTTTGTGTGGAGCAGGTCACGTGTGGACGGTTGGTTTTTACCCACCGCAACGTCGAGAAGTTATCTAGATCTAGATCTCGCATTTTCGAAGTACGGTAGTACGGCCGACCGGATGTCTGCGTCTGAAATTGTTGCTGGCCGGGCGGGTGGTGGGCTTTGGGCTTGGGTTGAGAAGAACTTAGGCTGTGTTGTAGAAACATGACAAGATTCAGAGAGAGAGGGAGGACGAGGGAGGTGGGAACGTGTTTTGGAAGCAGCTTCGTGAAGACGTTCAAACGTGGTCGTGTTGTACCACCCAACCAAAGCTTCGAAAGAGAACTGACTAATCATCTGTCATTTATTGTCGATGGTTTCCAAGTTTTAGCGTTTTTC